GCTGTCTTATTTATACTGCCGCCAACAATGGGCCTACTTCCCTGACACCCTTCATTCTTTTGGCTGTTACAAGTGAATTCCCTGAAATTGTAATTTGCTTTGACATTTTGTGAATAGGTTGAGTGTTTTTCATTATGTTTAAGAATTCTTGTATTTCTTTGTGTATATTTTCCTTTATGGTTTGAAGAAGTTTTATTGGTGTTAAGAAAGTCAGCCATTTGCTAGTCAAAAGGAGTTATGTCTGCCTATTCAAGGCCCTTTGGCTCAGGTCAGCTGACTTTGATAGGAAACAGCACGCACTCTTTCTGAACCATTCACTGGTTCTCTGGAGCTGGCTCTAGAGAAAGCCTTGTTGTCAAAAGCCTCTAGTGTGTATCTTTTCCCAGCCTCCATGACACAACTTAGGGACATCAAATGGGATACTTAAATTGGTCAACATAGTGGTACTTACAGCAAGAATATCCATCTGTCATTCTGGGAGGCTGAGAAAGGTGAATTGCTTGAGCTCAGGAGTTTGAGATCAGCCTGAGCAAAAGCAAGACCCCATTTCTACTAAAGATAGAAAAACCAGCTGGGTGTTGTGGTGGGCACCAGTACTCCCAGATACTACTTGTGAGGCCAAGGTAAGAGAATTGTTTGAGCCCAAGAGTTTAAGGTTACTATGATCTGTGATGCCATGGCAGTCTACCCAGGGGGACACAGTAAGATTCTGTCTCAAAATAAATAAATATATAAATAAAAATATCCATGGAGCTAAGAGCATCTCTGACTAGGTGCTTTCAGGTTGGAAAGGTATGAAGGGCCAGGCCCACGGAAAGGGACGCAATCTTGGCTACCTGTGCCACCAACATGTGTCAGAATTCAATGATTCTCTGCTCCCTGGAGCCCAGCCAGTGGCTATTCCCAACACCTGTGTTGCTGCCCAAAAGTTAGGAGCTCCTATGTTTCACCAACAGGATGGGCCAATAATGAGCTAAAATGTGTGCAAGTTGCAGTAGCACCTGGCCGTCCACTGATACTCACAATCTTACAGCTCTTGCTTCAGTTTCCTTCTTATGTCAGTTTTAATCTGGAAGGAAATCAGGAAGGAGTTTCTGGGAAATATGGTTCCAGCATTTTTAATTTGGTAGAGTCTAAGATCTCCACAGGTCTCTTCACAGAGAACTTTAAATTACCATTTACAAATAATCCTTTGAATACAGTATGTAGGTAAGTTAATCAGGCATGCAAATTCTCAAATTCATCTTTTCCTTGTTAACTGTGATTAATGTGGGCCACTGTTCTGGTTATCTGTTGCTGCACCTTGAATCATTCCCAAATCCAGTGGCCAAGACAAGGATTTTACTATACGTCATGATGGTGTAAATTGGCTACAGCCAACATAAGGAAATGGACTAAGGCATTTTCCTTACTACATTTTCTTTGGGCTCTTTCAGCCAATTGCATTGAAATCAAGGCCTGTACTGGGGCTGGATGTCTGAGACATCAGTGCTTTTCCATGTAGCATGTCTCTTTGTAAGAGTGCCCCCGGGTGGCACTTTGTCCATAAGGCTGGGGTGGAAACTTTGTCCATAAGGCTGGGGTGGAAACTTCCAGGCATAGTTACTATGAGAACCATAAAAGCCTCAGAACATCTTCCTCCACATTCTATTGGTCAAAGCAGTCATGGGCCCAATGGAGATTCAAGAAGAGGAGGTCATAACAATAATGAACTCCATCTTGTAATGGGAGGAACACTTTGTTTGCTCAGGGTGGACTAGGATTGTTTGGGGTTGTATTTGGAGACAAGTTCCTACAACTACTCAGCAGTCTGAGTGTCAGATGCCTCCTGTGCCTGATGAGAGGCATAGCTTCTCTCAGTCAGGGACATTGGCAGAATGAAATGGGAACTTGTGTGCAGAGAGGCTGCACAGAACTTTTGCCTCTTCTGCCCCTGGAGCTTGACAACAGGCTGGCTTGTCCATAGCATCTTCCTAAGGGTCGACAGCAGGGCAAGGTGGAGAAACAGAGGCCTTCTCCTCTGCCAAGGGCCTTCCCCTGGTGCACCTATGCTCTTCCAGGCACTAATATGTTGACCCTCTCACTCCAACCTAGAACTACTGTTCTGTGATCAGCCCCTCCCTAGAGCTGCAGATAACTCCAAAGTCAGAGCCCAAGTCTGTATCAGCACCATGGATAGCGCCACCACACACTTAGAATTCCCTAGGAGCCAGAAGCTGTCTTGGGTTGAGGGGGCACCTTCTTCGGGTGGTGTATTGATTTCTGCTGGGCCAGAGGTGGGGTTGGTTGGTCAGACACAGATGGTAGAACGTGGTAGGGGCCTGAGGGTTTCCAGTACAGTGGGAGAGTGAGAGTTTGGGCACACAGGATCTGAAAGTCCAGGAATTCCTGGGCCTCCAGGGCCTTCCTGCCTGAGAGTTCCTACCATGTCTTCTCTGCCTGTTCCTTCCCAAGAAGTAATCTGCACCCACCCAAGCCTGTGCCCCCCCACCTCCACCTTCCCTCTGACATTGGAAATGTCAGATGACTTGTTTGTCTCCAAACCAGATGTTGCTCCCTTTGAGTCAAGGACTGGGTCTGTCCCATTCACTCCTTTCCAGGCAGGGGTTCTCACTGCCTGGCTGCTGAGTGAGTGAGAGAGTGAGTAAGTGAATGACATTTCTCCCCTCATCTCATGAGAGAAGTTCAACAATTCTTCCATTTCAAATTAGCACATACTTATCCTACCCCAGTTCTGTCACTCCTATGCAGACATAGTTGATTATGTGACTTCTGAGCATACAAGGGAATAAGACGGTATACTCATGTGATGGGGCAATTTAGTGGCTAAGTCCACTCAGGCTGTTGTAACAAAATATCATAAACTGGATTCATCCTATAAAGAATAGAAATTTATTTCCCACAGTTCTCGGGGCTGGGAAATGCAAGGTCCAGATGCCAGTAGCTCGTAAGGACATTTTTGAAATGGTGAAAGGTGCAAACAAGATCCCACAGACTTTTCTATAAGGGCACAAATCCTATTCATGACAGCTCCACTGTCATGATCCTATCACCTCTCAAAGATCCTACCTTCTGAATCCATTAGGATTTCAACATGTGAATTTGGGGGCAGGACACAGACATTCAGGTCATAATACTTGCCAATCAGGACCCCAGAGTCTTCTCTCCAAATTGGGGAAGTGGTGCTAGAGGGCTAGATTGCCTCCCAGTCCTCCTTGGTCAGAAGTGGATCTTAGGTTCCTCTTTGGCATGCAGATCTCTGCCATTTCTGTTTCTCCTTCCTGTTATTTTCTGATTTCATTTGCAAATTGCGGATGCTGGGAAACTGAGAAGCCACAGCACCTCCCTTCTGACCACTGAGATGCTGCAACTTTACTACTAGGAGAGAGTGACTGGGTGAGGAAGGCGTCTGGTGGGGTGTGTCTGCAGGAGGAGATACCAGTGAAAATGCAGGAATTGGTGATGGGGGTGTGGGGCAGCTATGCCTGCTCAAACCCTGCACCTTCCCTTTTCAATTTTCATGTCCAAGTGATACTCTGGGTTATGGGCAATGAGAGGATAAATGCAGGACAGGAAATTTCAAGAAGTTGAGTGAAAGAAAAAGTCTGCAATTTTTTATGTATACAGAATCTTAAGAAAAATGTTCTTAAAGCCACAGGATTGCAGGCAGCATACTCAGATCATAAAAGCACAGAGAAAAGCGAGGAGATGGTTGGTGTCACAGTGGAGCTGGAGCTCCTCCAGGAGGGAGTGGCCTGTGGGGAGTAGCAAGGAAGAAATGGGTGGTCCTGGGGAGCTTCTCTGAAGGTGTTCATTTCTGTAAACCACTGCATGGTTCAGAAGAGGGCACTTTTACGTATATGTCTTATATTCCCCCCCCTGCCCAAATAGTTTGAAGTAAAATTGACCCAGGTTTGTCTTTTTACTTGTTAAGATTTCCCCCATTCCCTCCCAACCTCCAGGCACAGAGTTTTACATCATCTTCCATTGAATTCAAGTGCGAGTTTCTTCTCTCACTCAACCCTGACCATCCCTGAGGGTGGGCAGCTCCAATGCTAGTGTTTCTGGCTCCAAATATCCCCTTAACCAGGATCCTCCTGGGGGCAGAACCTGCAGCAGCAAAGCCCTGAGGGCCGGGGAACCCATCGTGCTCTGGAGGAATCAGGAGTGAGGCTGGGGGACGTGACAGTGGGGAGGAAATCTGATCTGATACCCAGAACGTCTGGATGAACAGAGAAGTTTAAGCTTCTTTCAAAACGCACCCCTGCCCTGCTGACTGTCTTCCATATATTAATAACATTGCCATGTACAATAGTCATAGCCTTAGTCTCCCAGGCCACCTGTGTCCCTGTATGTATCAGTACACAGAAGCCTCACTTCCACAACCCCGTGTCCTTGTGCTCTGTCCTCTTGAAATTACACCTCCATGTTGGGAGGGGGAATGCCATCCACCCTGCCTGTGTCCCAGTGAAGCTCCTGTCACAGGGATCTCAGAAGTCAAGAGAATTATTGTCTCCCTGGGTAGTGACTCCATAAGGACCAGGATCTAGCTCTGGTAGGTTGACCTCAAGATGCAGAGATGGGACACACATGTGGTTGCTGAGGGAGTAGGAGAGGCTGCCAGTCATCTCCCACCCTGGGCCTCCCCCCTCCCCTGACCTCCACAAACATCCATGGCTCCAGACTCAGGGGTCTGGCCAGAGGGGACCCATTTTGGCCTTCCAGAAAGTGTCACCAAGGGGAAGGGCATTGACAGGGGTGAAATGTAGTCAGGCCTCGCATGGGGTGGGAACTTGGGTGAGGGTCTCTCCCTCTCCCACAGGATCCCCAGGAGTGGACGTGGGTGGTGACAGCTGACCTCCAAAGGCTGCCCCAGCCCTGCCAATGTCTGCATGTGAAGTTCCTCCTCTGAGGAGGGTCACGTTTCTGACCTCACCCCCATCTTCCTGTGTGGCTTCCTCTGAACCCGCAGCTCCCAGTGCCTGAGAGAAGAACCCTGAGGAGCAGACTGTCCCCAGCGGGCCCTGACACCTCCACCCAGACATGCTGCTGCTGCTGCTGCTGGCCCTGCTCTGGGGGACGGTGGGAGGGCAGCAACAGAGAGGGCACCTGAAGGGTTATACCCTGGAAGTGCAGAGGGAGGTGACGGTGCAGGAGGGTCTGTGTGTCCACGTGCCCTGCTCCTTCTCCTACCCCTCAGAAGGCTGGACAGACCCTGTTTCTGGCTACTGGTTCCGGGATGGGGCCAATACAATACACGATGCTCCAGTGGCCACAAACAACAAAACTCGACAAGTACAGGAGGAGACCCGGGGCAGATTTGACCTCCTTGGGGTCCCTGAGACGAGCAACTGCTCCCTGAGTATCAGAAATGCCAAGTGGAGTGACCGTGGATTATACTTTTTTCGGGTGGAGACAGGACAGAACATAAAGTGGAACTATATACACAATAAGTTCTCTCTGCGTGTGACAGGTAAGGCCCAGCTGCAGGTGTGACCACAGGGGGAGGTGGTGGGGACCCCAGGGAGGTGGTGGGAGCCACAGGGAAAGGCCGGGCTGTGACCCCCATCCTGGGAGGGGTTGGGGCGAAGCCTGTAGGGCTCAGGGGAGGAGCTGGACCACAGCCCGAGCTCCTATCAGGGCCACACCTTGGATTCTCACTCCTAATGCTATGTGTCCCCTTCTCCTCCCTAGCCCTGACCCCCAACATCCTCCTTCCAGGGACCCTGGAGTATGGCTACCCCAAGAACCTGACCTGCTCTGTGCCCTGGACCTGTGAGAAGGGATTTTCCCCCCAGATCTCCTGGGCTGGACCCTCTGTGGACCCCCAGGAACCCACCACTGGCCACCTCTCAGTGCTCACCCTCATCCCACAGCTTGAGCACCACGGCACCAACCTCACCTGCCAGGTCACCTTGCCTGAGGCTGGTGTGACCGGGATAAAGACCATCCATCTCAACGTGACCTGTGAGAGAGCTGGGCTGGGACACCTGGGGCCCTGCTGGGGGTGCTGGGACCTGGGGTCCAGGTGAGGAGGGTTAAGAGGATGCTGGCTCCACCCTCCCCCTTGATGTGGCTCCTAGGGCAGAGCCCAGCATCCACCTGACCCTCAAAAGTGACTCAGGGCTTCTGTGTCTTTCTGCCCCAGACTCTCCTCAGAACTTAACTGTGACTGTCCTTCTAAGAAACAGCACAGGTAGGATGGCCCTTCCTGGGCTGTGGGAGCAGGGCCTCTTCAGTCAGGGCATGTGGGTCCCTCATTAGCTGGACTCTTCCTGCTCACCTGAGACCCCTTTGTTAGTGAACCCCGGGCCCCTCCCCAGAATCAGCTCCCACCACCCCTCTCTCCCCTCAGACTTTCTCACAACCCCTCGGTCCACAGCAAGGACAGGGCAACATTCACAGGCAGAGCCAGCCTCTCCCCTTCTCGTCTGTCTCCTGAATGCTCCTTCAGCTTCGACTTTTTATTTCCCCAATAGTTTTATGTATCTCTAGATCGGGGTAGGGAGGTGAAGTCACATGGGTAAAAATTCAAACACAGAGCAGAGTCTGTTCTCAGGTGCCCACCCCCTCCCCAGAACCCACCAGTGTCCCCATAGGCTGCCCAGAGCCTCAGTCTATTCACTTGAAGGCCCTGAGAGGTGGTTGACACTAGAAGCACAGACTGTCCTCATTCCCCTCCAGGGCTGTGCAAGATACCTTCTCTTGATAATCTCTGATTCACTATACAGCTTATGCTAATGGAAGTTCAGGGCATTATTTTATCCTACTAATAGACACTCTGCAAGGAATTCCTTGTATTTTATCTCACACATGTGTATGTATGTCTGTGAGATAAATTCCTAAAAACAATATAGCTAGTTTACATTTTCTTTAATTTTGAGAAACATGGTCAGATGTATTGAGGGTGCACAAATTTCATTCCCATCAGCCAGGGGTGAAAGTGTGTTTTCCTCTACTTCAGTCTTTCTCTCTGGGCTTCTGTTCCCCTCACCCATCTCCTTCTGTGTCCTTCCACTATATCCACATCTCTTTGTTACTCTGACCCTCTGTCTCTTTCTCTATAGTACCCATGGCCCTGGGGAATGGCTCATCTCTGTCAGTCCTAGAGGGCCAACGTCTGCACTTGACCTGTGCTGCTGACAGCAACCCCCCTGCCAGGCTGAGCTGGACCTGGGGGAGCCTGACCCTGTGCCCCTCACAGTCCTCAAGCCCTGGGGTGCTGGAGCTGCCCCACGTGCACCTCAAGGATGAGGGAGAATTCACCTGCCGAGTGCAGAACGCTCTGGGCTCCCAGCACATCTCCCTGAGCCTCTTCGTGCTGAGTCAGCACACAGGTGGGTTGCAGAGGAATAGAGGGGAGAACACACCTGCCCCACCCTCACTGACAACCCACAACCCCCTGAGCTATAAAGGGAAGCCTAGTTCTGGTCTGTGCTCAGCTGTGAGGCTTGGAACTTACCTGTGACCCAGAGCATCACTGTCTTTTTCCAAGGACAAGGGGCAAGGGAAGGAGGTGGGCCTTGGAGGGGAGCGGCTGGGAGGCATGGATAGGAGTGTTTGGGGAAGTAAGGACCTTGCTGTTCAGGGCTTGGACTTGGGTGAGACATGTGAGGAACTCACCTCGGGCATAAAATTTAAGAAGACAAAAAAACAAGTCAGCAATCAAGCAACATAATATTGCAATGATCTTTTAAAAACAATAAATTGAATGCCAAAAAATTCCATGATGAACAAAATTCCAAAATCTTAACTAGAGCTTCCATCCAGCACTTCCATGTCTCACTGCTCTCCTTTCTCCCTCCCATCCATGTTTTTTGTGTCTGAGAAGGGAGAGGGGAATAGATGTCCAAGTCCTGCATGGAGCAGGAGGGGAAGAGACCAGTTCTCAGAGGTGATTTACAGAACGACTCTCATCCATCTGCAGAGAAAGCACAGCCTGTGTCAATGGGGGCAGTCTGGGGAGCCACAGCTCTGGTCTTCCTGTTCTTCTGCATCATCTTCATGGTGTAAGCGTTGACCTTGGGGGGAGGGAAGGTCGGGAACTGTGCTCCTGAAGCCAGAGTTGGAGGCACCTGGATGGGTCATGAGCCTGAAGCAAGGATAAGAAGTACATCACGTGTGCATGGGGAGAAGCACATGGGGGCGCGTATTTTGGGGGGCTAATAGTCTATGGCAAACCTGGGGCCTCACTATCCAGGAGGGTGGTCCTATGTTCTCAGTATTGGGGTCTCCAGGACAGGATAGCCTCTCTCCCACCACTGTCACCCTCCAGTCCCTGACTAGGAAACTGAGGCGGGGTGGGGCTGCTCCCTGTGGCCTGATGCTCACAGACTGAAAGGCTCTCTGGTGTTCTTTCAGGGTGAGGTTCTGCAGGAGGAACGTGGCCAGGCCAGAAGAGGGCGCTGGGGAGAAATGGGCTGAGGATGCAGACTCTGTCAGGGGCTCAGGTTCTCAGGTGAGTGACATGGGGGTCTCCACATCCAGCATCCAACATGGACAGCTCACACTGGATGGTCTCCAGGATTATTCAGCTGGGGCAGGACCAAAGTTGCTTCTTTATCTCCTCCTCCCTAAAATCTGGCATCTCCTGCAGGATCTCCTATGTTGCTGACAGAATGAAAGCCTCTCCCTTGTGGTGTCTCCATGGCCAGGCACACAGAGTTATCCTCTATCTGTCCTTTCTTTTCCTATGGCCAAAAACTCACCATGTCTTGACCTTAAGAACAGCTGTCACTGGTCCCAACCCTCCATCCTGACCCTGCTCATTGCTGACCTCAGGTTTCCTTCTTTGACCCTCTCCCACCCTGCCTCTCATCTCCCCTTCCCTACCTGGAGGGATCTTCTGAAATCCATCACGGCCCAGTGCAGCTGCCTTTGAGCAGCTGTTCCTTGACCCCCAGCACTGTCAAGAGAAGAGGCTAAGAAATATTTTCTATAAGGGCCAGATAATAGCTATGTTTGAATTTGTGGGCTGTATAGTCTCTGCTGCAGCTACTTAACTCTGCTTCTGTAGCAGGAAATGACCGATAGACCATGTGTGGATGATGGGCATGGCCGTGTTCCAATAAAACTTTATTCACAAAAGCAGGTGGTGGGTGAGATTTCACCCAAGGGCTGTAGTTTGCCCAGCCTTGATCTAAAGATAAAGTCCCAACTCCTCAGCCTGCAGCCCAGACCACTCTGGCCTCTGAAGCACCTACAGGTCCTGTAGGGATGGAATTACTGGGAGATGAGTAAGACTCTTGGCTTGGATGCAGAATTTAAGGGCATGACAAAAATCTCGGCAATCGCAACAATTAATGTAAATTTTTACCAGACTAAAATTAATGAAAAATATTCATGATGAGTAAAATATCAAAATATTTTAAAATAACAGGATCAATAAAGTCGGTTAATAATTATTTAAGATCATCACTTCAGAGAAACTTTAAAACAGGGTAACATTCTCAGTTGACAGTGAGGGAAGCAAAGAGGTAGATTTTGAAAATATTGTCCCTGCTTTATCTCCCACAGAACTAGGAAAGGAAAATTATAAAAAGTTCTGGTTTGGGTATGCATAAAATTTTTACACTTAAAATGGTGTTTTATATGCTTCACTCTTCAATTTTTTTTTTTTTTTTGAGACAGAGCCTCAAGCTGTCCCCCTGGGTAGAGTGCTGTGGCACCACAGCTCACAGCAACCTCCAATTCCTGGGCTCAAGCGAGTCTCCTGCCTCAGCCTCCCAAGTAGCTGGGACCACAGGTGCCAGCCACAACACCTGGCTATTTTTTTTTTTTTTTGGTTGCAGCCATCATTGTTGTTTGGTGGCCCGGGCTGGATTCGAACCTGCCACCTTAGGTGTATGTGGCTGGCGCCTTAGCCACTTGAGCCACAGGCACCAAGCCTTCAATTTTTAATAGTATTTCAACTATTTTATGTTCTGGAAAAAATTAATGATTAAATATACATTAAAACATATAAATAGAACGAACATTTTCCTGTTGCCTGAGGCTCCAGTTGGCTCAGGAAAGCATGCTCACTAATCTGGGTCTGTTTACGTGTTTATTCTCCAGGGATATGGATCGTTAATTTTATTTTTTAAATGTGTTCAAATATTCTTCACCTCAGTTGCTGAGATTTTTGGTTCCTTTTTCATTTGGGACTCTGGCAACTGCCACACTTCGTCACTCTCCTTGTAGTCCTGCCCTCCAGCCACATCCTCCCCCTGCTCTGTGCTCCTTCCACGCTGGACTTGTCACTGTTGTCATTCAGAGCAAAATTATTTGTGCCTTTATCTTTGCAAGGGCTGTTGCTCTGTCTGCGCATGCTCCTCCCTCCTCACTTAACTACCTGTAGATGATTTTGAGCAGCAGAAATCCTTTTATTCACTAATTTGGTCAGGAAATATATGGACCACCTACCAAGAGACAAGCACTGTAGGTGCCAGGGTCCTATTTATGAAAAGCATTTAAAAATCCTGGGTTTGGTGAGGTCTTACTTTAGATAGAGGGATATATCCAAATAAATCATTAACCAACCAACCAACCAACCAACCAAACAACAAACAAATGAATAAAATGTACATGATGGACATGTAATTGGGGGAAAATCCAGGGTTCAGAAAATAGGAAGCAATGAGGAAGTGGCTTGTGCTTTATTTTTGTTATCTGTCATCCACATATCGTCTGTCTATATATCAACATATCTATGCATCCATCATCTATCTCACTACCTCTACATCCTTTCATCCATTCATCCATGTATCTGTCTTGATTTTAGAAAGTTGAACTGGCTTGGCACCTATGCTCAGTGGTTAGGGCGCCAGCCACATACACTGGGACTGGCGGGTTCGAACCCAGCCCAGGCCTGCTAAACAACAATGACAACAACAACAACAAAAATATCCAGGCATTGTGGTGGGCACTTTTAGTCCCAGCTACTTGGGAGACTGAGGTAAGAGGATCGCTTAAGCCTAAGAGTTTGAGATTGCTGTGAGCTGTGATACCATGGCGCTCTACCAAAGGTGACATAAGACTCTGTCTCAAAAAAAAAAAAAAAGGTGAACATCTTAACCTTTTTAAGTGTACAGTTGTGTAACAGATTATAAAATTTTTCATCTTACAAAACTGAAACTCTATCCACTGAATGACATCTCCCCATTTCCCCACCCTGGCCTTCCTTTGCCCTGGGAATCACCATTCTACTTTCTGTTTCTATGAACTTGATGACTGGATATCTCATATAAGTGGAGTTATATAGTATTTGTCCTCTTGTGATTGGCTTATTTACTTAACCTAAGTCCTCAAGGTTCATCCACATTGTAGGATGTAACAGCATTTCCTCTTTTCAAAAGATGATTGTTAATATTCCCATGCGTATACACACTACTCTTTTAATCCATTTATCTCTGTGTGGGCTTTTGAATTGCTTCCACTTCTTGGCAATTGAGAATAATGCTACAGGGAACATGGGTATGTATGTGTCTTCTCAAGATCTTGTTTTCAGTCTTTTTAGATATATGCCCATAAGTAGGAATAATGGGTCCTATGTTAATTCTATTTTTAATTTTTTCATTTTTGGAGGAACTGCCATACTGCTTTGTATAATGGTTGCACCACTTTATGCTCCCATGAAGAGCTCATAAAGGTTCTCATTTCTCTACATGCTCACTAATAGTTGGTATTTTTCTTTTCATTTGTTTGTGATAGTGGCCACTCTAATGGGTATGAGATGACATCTCATTATGGTCTTGAATTGCATTTATCTTATAATTAGTGATCTGAGCATCTTTTCATGTGCTCCTAAGCCATTTATATATCTTCCTTGGAGAAAAGTCTATTCGAGTTTTTTGCCTATTTTTAAACTAGATTGTTTTTCATTATTGAGGTATGCAAGCTCTTTATATATATTGGATATTCACCTCTTATCAGATGTGTGGTTTAGAAATTTTTTTCTCCCATTCATAGGTTGACTGTGGTTTCTGATATTTGATTGTAGTTAATGGTATTCGAACAAAGGCACGAAGGAAGTTCAGGGTCCGGCATTTGGTTGTGTGACTGAAGAGTCACTAGGGAGAGGGAAGAGCAGGGGCTGTGCTCAGACACAGGAGGCTGATGGGGGGGGGAACCACAGAGAGCTCAGACAGAGGAGGCAATGGCCATGAGAAGGAAATGAATATGGAGAAGCCTATCCTGTGCATGGCTCATGTCTGAATGTGCTCCCGTGATTGGCAGAGGTTTGGGGGAGAAAAGAGGAAGTTTAATTTCAATAGGTTGAGCTGGTTGAATTTTGTGTGTCTTTGGACAAGGGGGTCAGAGTTTCAAGTATATTGTTGGATGAAAGTTTATCACCTGGAGAGGAGAATGGCCTGGAATCTGGTTTTGGGGGTCATCCACCTACTGGTGACATGAAGCCATTATAGTGGGTGAGGTCACAAAACAAAGTTGAAGAAGTAACGTGTCTGGGCACTTCTGATATTAGAGGTCAGGGAGATGTGGTATAAATGGCTGCCAAGGAGTCAGATGGACCCAGAAAAGTATGATGTCTGCAGCTGAGTAACGAAGGGCCCCATGCAAGGAAGGTGGACAACACAGTGTCCTCTGCTGCTGCAAAGTCCAGGGGAGGGAAGGCAGACAGACTGGCATTTTGATTTAGCCAACTGGAGATCTTTGGTGATTGTGATAAAAAGCAGCACTGAAAAGTGGTGTGTGTGTGTGTGAGAGAGAGAGAGAGAGAGAGAGAGAGAGAGAGAGTCTTTATTTAAATAATCAAAGGAGAATGGAAGAACAAAATCACTGACTGTTCTGGGACCTGTTCTGTTCTCCAGGAGAGCAGCCGGGAAGGCTCAAAACAAGGAGGAGGCAGCCGGGGCAGCCTCTATCACTCTCTGCTGGGTGACTCTGTATTGATGTCCTGTAGCCACTGTAACAACCTAGCACAAAATTAGTGGCTTCAGACAATGTGCATGGATCACCTAACAGGTCTGGTAGTCAGATGTCTGCAGTGGGTTTCCCAAGGCTGAAGTCAAGGTGTTGCCAGCAGCTTGAGGTGCCTTTGGCAGCTGCAGGAGAGGATGCAGGTTCTTGCCTTTTCTGGCTTCTGGAGGCACCTGTGCTCCTGGGCTCTGGTCCTTTCCACTGCCTACTTGAGTGTACACAGCGAGCGGGGCAGCCTCTTGCAGGCTCCACCTGCCCTCTCTCCTTTCCTTCTTAGGAATCATGTGATTACATCCAGTCCACCCAAATAGTCCAGATAATCTTCCCATCTCAATACCCTTAACTTGATTCCATCTGCAATGTCTCTTTTGCCATGTAAGGTTGCATGCTTACTGGGTCTAGGGGGTTAGGGTGAGGATGTTTTGTGACCCATTACTCTTCCTATCAGGGAATATACTAGTTTGGACTGGCTTGTCCTAACACCATGTCCCTCATCACCACACTGTGAGCTTCCTAAGGGCAGGTGCCATGGAGGAATCAAGGCCCTATAATTCTCACATACCGTGTTTTGGGGCATCATATAATAATTCACAACTGAGTATTTGTTTGACCGTCATTTATTGCTGCCTCCCTCAGTTACAGAGCGAGCTGCAAGAGGTCAGGTCCACCGTGTCCACCCCAGCACTTCCAGCACCCAGCTTAGCGCCTCATAGACAGGGGTCCTCAGTAGGTCACCAACCTGATTTGATTGGACCTTGGTGCAACCAGGAATTGGGCAGGCCATTTCCTGCTTCAGCCTCAGTTTTCATATCTATAAAACATTAATATTAATATCTTCATCATAGGGGTGTTGTGAGAATTAGTGAAATTGGAAAACACCAAATAAGGTGCTCATTAAGTATGAAGTATTTAAGGAAAGTGTGGATTAAGGGGAGTCCAACAGAAATACATGAAGGACAAACAGCTGAAAGAACTCACGGGCTTCCTCCCCAGATTCTCTCTGCCTTATCCTGTCCCCATGGTTTCTCTGACTCCCTCCCCCCTTTCCATTCAGAGCCTCCTGGTTGAATCCCAGATGTGTGACAACCCTCCAGACCAGCCTCCCCCAGCTGTGGCCGCCCTCTCCTCTGGGCAGGAACAAGAGCTTCATTATGCATCCCTCGACTTCCAGAAGATGAAGCCTCAGGACCTGCAGAGACAGAAGACCATGGTCACTGAGTACTCAGAAATCAAGATCCACAAGTGAGAACCACTGTGGAGATTCAGCCCTGCTTGAGGGATCTTGGCCCCTCTTGGCAAAGTAGACATCAGAGAGCTGATTCCACCTGTCAAACCAAAACTTTGTACCCACTGAGCAACATCTTTTCTTTCCCTGTCCACCTTGGCGCAGCCTCCCAGCTTCTAGGACCCACTGTTCTACTTTCTACTTCTGTGAATTAGACTTTTTTAGGTTCTATGTGTAAATGAGATCATAAGGTATTTGTCTCTCTGTGTTTTGCTTATTTCACTTAACATAATGTCCTCTAGTTTCACACATGTTATCTTAAATGACAGAAGAATGTACTGTGCATTTCAAAACAGCCCAAAGAGAGGATTTTATGTGTTCTTACCAAAAAGAAATGCTAATATTTAAGTTGATGTTATGAAACTGAACTGAATCGATCCTTTTGCCCATGCCTAAAATAAAGACAAATGTGGACACACCAGGCTTGTGCAGCAAGAAAAGTTTATTGCCATCCAACCTGTATCCCTGAGCAGGGGTTAGAACAGGTTTTATAGTCAGAAGGTAATGAGAGGTGATAGGATCCCGCCATGGAGGTGACACCAGGCGTGATCTGATTGGAGTCCTTCCATGTGTTGTCCATTTCTGAATTCAGTCCCCACTTCTTGGTCCCAGCACTTAGTTTCCGCCTATGGTTGCACACTCAGGGCACACTCAGATTAGGTGACCTTCACACTGGAGTCCATGACAACTACAAAACAACTCACAACTTTGTAACATAAACATTGAACCAGATTGATCTGATGCAGTTACAGTGCTGGATATACAAACTACCCTGATCATTCCACAACCCCACTGGGACTGTCTCAAGGCCACTCAGCTATTCAGAGCAGGACTGGAAATTAAACCCTCCCTGAGTCTGAGGTCTCTTCTCTCATGCAACATTGAATCAAGCAACTAGAAACCCAGGAACACTTTGGCCGTAAGTTTACAAAAAATAATATATAGTATTCCTTAAAGCTCTTGAAATTTACTAAAGAGGGTAGGTAAATAGTCCAGAGTCTCAGGGACAGGAAATGTGCAGTTGAGGAGATGAAGGCTGGGGACCTCTGCTTTAACTTTTTGGCAGGTCTTTATTTATTTGTTTGCTATCCCCTCAAATATTAACTCCTTTCGGAGCACATTCATGCAAGTTGTTTGTTTGGTTTTTCTGGAAAATTAAAAGCATCATTTGTCTTTTTCATTGTGGCAAAATTTACCTATAATGAAATATACAAATCTTAAGTGTGTGATTCCATGAATTTGCTAGACCTGTACACCTGTGTATACCAACTGGCACTATAATAAAGGATATAGAAATTTTCCATCACAGAAGAAGGATCCTGGCTCCCAAGCTCTGTCAATCCCCAACTCTGAAAGCCACTGCCTTCTGATTCCTATCACTGGACATTAATTCTCCATGTTGCTAAACATTATATAATTGACATCACATAATATGTAGTCTAGTGTCTTCTTTACTCAATCAGCATTGTATTTTTTGAGATTCACCTATGTTGCTGTGTGTGTCAGCATTCTCTCCCTTTGTATTGCTCAGTAGGATTCCACGGAATGAGTATATCACATTTTCTTTACCCAACTTTTCCTGTTGATAAATACCTGGTTTAATTTTGGGCAATAGGGTCTTTGCAGATGCAAGTAAGTTAATATGAGTCCATACAGGAATAGGATGGGCCCTAAATCCAGTAACTGGTGTCTTGATACAAGAAGGTAAATTTGGACACAGAGACTCACATAGAGAAGAAGCACATTTGCCAATGCAGGCAGGGATTGGAGTCATGCTGCCACAAGCCAAGGGATGCCAAAGATTTCTGGCTACTGTCAGAAGCTAGAGGATGCAAAGAATTTTTCCCTAAGGCCTTCGGAGGGAGTATGGCTTTACTGACACCTTGATTTTGGACATCTGGCCTCCAGAACTGGGAGAGAATAAATTTCTGTGGTTTTAAGTTACCGAGTTTGTGGCAATTGGTTATAGCAGCTCTGTGAAACCAATACACCTTGAGGCAATGCACCCGCTGAGGCATCTTGTACCTATTCTATGTTATGCAGGCCCCACAGTCATTCAGGAGAGTCATCTCTATCCCCTATCACAGAGGAGGCTTGGAAGAGCTGCTCAGAGCCACACAACCCATAAGTAAAGGGACCAGATAGAATCCAAGCAGTTGCCCCAACGGGGGTTTTAATCAGTGGGCCACAGAGGTGCACCTAACTGAGGGATTGCCTTGTGCCAGGCACTGTCTTTACTATTTGGGAACATTTGCTCACTCTTTCCTCACCCTCCTACGAGGACAGTGTCAAACAGTCAAGTGGCTCCAAGGACAGAGACTACAGCAACGGAGAGTAAAATTCAGCCAGTAAAGAGCCTCTGTCCTCCCGGCCTCCTTACTTTCTCCTCTTCCTTATTCCCCCTCTCCCCTCCCCACTACCCATCTCCATTGTCAAGGCCATTATGGTGAATGAATGCCCTGACATATTTTGGAGCACGTTCATGCAGACCACTCAGAAAAAAAGTTCCAGAAGTGGAATTACTGATTCTGAAGTAACCTGATACTGTTTAAACTTTTTTCTGATTACAAAAACAATTTATGTATTTTGTGGAAAAAAAACTCACTTTATACAGTAAAGTATAAAGAACAATATTAAAATAGAGGTGGGCTTGTTAATATCTAATGTTTTCCACAAAAAAACTGTGGGAAACATAAAAACATACTGTACATATTACCAGTACATCTACCGTCGCCCATTAACTTACACTTTTTTCCTAACTATGATCTTGTCAGATGCAGCTATACATTATGAATTTCTCAATTTATATCAAGTCTTGAACATTTTGTACCTCAGGAACATCCTTCCCCAGGGTGGCTTCTAACAATAAACGATAAGCTGTATGTGAGCTGTGCCCCGTTTAAACAACTCTCTGTCGTCGGGCATTTTTAGGTTGGTCCATTTCCCTGGCCTTGGCAATGCCGAGAAGGGCATCTTCCCAGCATCTCTCACAGTACCTTGGAGTTCAGACAAGGAAACTGAGAAGTTGGAACCTCTGAGGGAAAGGAGCCTGTGGAATTGGAGCTACAGCCAGGCCCATGGCCTGCCCCAGCCTGCATTCCACTGGGCAGCTCCAATTGGCATTTGGGGCTACCAATGGCCATGGTGCCTATGACGTCATTCCAGGTCCTAAGTGGGGTCTCTAGACTACTTCCAGGAGCCTCTGTCTCCCAACCTTGGCGTGACTGGGCTCATTCCCACTCTTGACTGTCCCCTCCAAAGAGACTCTGGGCCCTTTCCAGCCTAGCCAGTCCCTGTGAGTCTCTCTGCCCTTCTCCATTAGTCTCTCCTCACCTCCTTGCCCATCCGGTCTTGCCCTCCAGGTCTGAGGTGGACACTCATGTAGTCCGGCTTGTCCTATGGGGAGAAATGAGGGGGAAAGTAACATTTTAAGGGACTTAAGAAATTCAGGAGAGTCCTGGGTATAGAGAGATGAGGGGCCCCAGCTGCCTGCACCATGCTCAGGCCCTCCTCATGCGGGACCCCAGGAGGTGGAGGAGATGGATCTGAGGGCTTAACTTTTGCTCTAAGAGTCATCAGCATTCTCCACACATTTTAAGATTCCTGAGGTCTTAATGTCAGTGGAGGAAGATGCCACTGGGTGGGGGTTAGGAGAGGAAAAAAGGCTGCATGAATCTGGGGAAGGAGTTGGCATTCCTGTCCTAACTACCAGTGGTAATAATAACAGATAATAATAATACTTTATGTCACACCTATTATATGCCAGGCTACAAATGATAGTAGACAGAATTTTAACCCTGCCAAAAGCCATGCCAGATAGATTCTCTACCCACATTCATAGATGAAGAAATGGGGCTTCATAGAGGTAAAGTTTTTTGCCCAAAGTCACATGGATGATGTAACAGAGGCCACTATTCCCAAACTGACTTCTATGACCCCCAGACCTTTGCTCTCATATCAGACTGAAGCCTCAGACTATGAACAATTTGGCACCTTTCAGAGCAATGAGACAGTGGTATTGTGTTGGTTTTTGGCTGTTAGAAGGTGATTCTGCCAAGTAGGGTGGATTTGTGTGGAAGAGGAAGTGACTCACATACTCTCTTGGAAACATTCATGAACTTCACAGTTGATTTAAAATTATGCATTAAATAATATGATAGTGCCAATATACCACCTAAGATTTTACTGAGTGCTGACTGTATACTGAGGCTTATCCCAAGCTCTTTGTCTTTATACCTATATTAGATACCCCTGTGAGGTAGGTACCAGAATTGCTACCATTTAACAGAGGGCAAGTACAGCCCAGAAAGACCAACTTGACCACTTTCACGTGGTATGGTCAATATCACAGGCTCCTTGTTTAAGTGACCACGTAATGATTATAAATAGCCTTGATTGAGAAAAGAAATAGCTGAAGATGTTAACGAATGGAAAAACATAACCATGCTCATGGCTGGGAAGAATCAACAATGTTAAAATGTCCGTATTACCCAAAGCAATCTACAGATTTAATGCAATCCCTATTAAAGCACCATTGTCATACTTTAAAGAACTTGAAATAATAGTATTTTGTTTTATATGGAATCAGAAAAAACCTCGAATAGCAAATATATTACTCAGAAATAAGAACAAATCAGGAGGTATCACATTACCAGACTTGAGGCTATATTACAAATCTATAGTGATCAAATCAGCATGGTACTGGCACAAAAACAGTAGATTTATGGAACAGAATACAGAACCAAGAGATAAACCCAGCTACTGATTGTCATTAGATCTTCAACAAGCCTATCAAAAATATTCAGTGGGAGAAAGACTCCCTATTTAAAAAATGGTGCTGGGTAAACTGGATGGTGACCTATAGAAGACTGAAACTGGACCCCCACCTTTCACCATTAACAAAAATTGATTCTCACTGGATAAAAGATTTAAACTTAAGACACAAAACTATAAAAATACTAGAAAAGAGTGCAGGAAAAACACTTGAAGAAATTGGCTTGGGAGAATATTTCATGAGGAGGACCCCCCAGGCAATTGAAGCAACACCAAAAATCCATTAGTGGGATCTGTTCAGACAAAACCTTTTGCACAGCCAAGAGCACAGTAAGTGAAGCAAACAGACAACCTTCAGAACGGGAGAAGATTTTTGCACGTTATGCTTCTGACAAAGGTCTGATAACTAGAATCTGCAGAGAACTCAAACTAATCAATAAGAAAAGAATAATTAACCCCATTTCTATGTGGGCAAGAGAGTTGAACAGAAACTTCTCTGATGAAGACAGGTGCATGGCCTACAAACACATGAAAAAATGCTCATCATCCTTAATCATCAGAAAAATGCAAATCAAAACCACTTTGAGATATCATCTAACTCCAATAAGATTAGTCCACAATCACAAAATCTCAAAACTACAAATGTTGGCATGGATGCGGAGA